GATAAGAATAGGGTCATAATAAATTTTCCAAAGAAGTGGTGAGTATGTTTCTCCTTGTTCAATTCCAGAATTGAGTTAATTAAGAATTTCCAAAGCTTAAAATTTCATATATAGTTTTTCTGATTATATAAAAATATTTATTTTAATATTACCTTTCTAAGGCTAAGATTTGTTATTAACTATTCAGACAAAGTTTTCTTTTTAAACAAACAAGAAATTTCAAATATAGTTTCCTATCTTTCTTTGAATTCTTGTTATTTTTCTTATTCTTATCCTGTTTTGATTTGTTTCAAGTTAAAATACTTCAGATTTGTTAAAACGATAATAATATATATATGCCTTATAAAAAGAACATAACACAAATCTTCGTAGATTTAATTTTTATTTTAAAACAATACATAAACATAATTCTGTATCTTAATTTCAGTAACAAATAATATAAATTCTTTTGATTTTAATTGTCACTGAAAATTGAATTTATAGAGATTATTAGCATAATAGAAATTGGTTTTTATTAGTTAAAAAAATAATTGACAATTTATAAATAACAAATTTTGATTAGTTAAAGTTAAAGATTAATTTCATATTATTTTAGTGATACCCTTTATAGTTTTTTGTAAAACAGATTAACTGATTGATAATTTCTAACTTGCTCACGTGAAGTTCGAAACTTTTAATCGAAAAAACAGTAGATTTTTATTAACTATTTCGTTTTAAAATGCCAAAAATTTAATGTAATACCTTTATGTTACATACTGGCATTGTCAGAATCGCTCTAGTAAAAGTTGGCGAAATACTTGATCCTACTTGATCCCAAAAGTTTATATGAAAGTTATGCTTCTAAAAAACAATTCGGTAAAATTTTAGAAGATCTTAATTATAAAAAATTTTAACTTGTCCAATTAGAATTAAAATTTCTATTGTAAAACAATATAAAAATTTGTATAACAGTACTTTTCAATAGAAAATAAACAACCAATAAAAACCAATTTCTATCATACTGAGATTATTTATCACCGTTATAAAGTTATCATTATGTTTTGCCATATTGATACTTAAATCACATGATATTTGATCACATGCAAATTGATCTACATCTTGCATTTGTTTTTATTAACATTAATACATAATACAAGCAGTTGATCTAGCAGTACTGTACATCATGAATACGCTAAACGAAAAATTTTTTATGATTCTTTTATTTCTTATATTAATACTCACTTCAATACTCCTAAATCTTCTCTACCAAGTCTCGAAGATTTCTTATATCATGTTCAAGATATCTCAAAAAATAGAATCCGTTCATGTCATAAAAAATTAGCATATAAAACTTTTTTTGCGCAAATACAAATTATATCATCACTTAGTAAATACTCATCTAATATAAAATGTCAATATGAAAAGTACACAGGCTCCCTCGATCAAAAGCAATTAAAAAAGATTAAAGAAAATGTAAGAGAAGATATAATTCTTGCAAAATTAAGTTTATAATGATTAAATTTGCGCATATCACAATAAGTTTTCTGAATTTTATATTCGATTTATAACTTGTTCACTGCAGTAATATTTGAATCAGACTATTAATTTGCTCTGAATTTTTTTCATATATTGATTGCTTTCAACAGGTTATGCTTTAATTAGACCATTAATTTGCCCTGGATTTTTTCTCATGCTGTATATTGACAAGCTCAGGCCATTAATTTGCTCTGAATTTTATATACTATTTTTTTGTGTATTATTCGTTAGATAATTGTCTAGCTAATTATGAATAGAAAATACTATTTAAATAAGTTTTATATAAATTTGTTTGACTAACTATTATATTTGCTTATTTGAATTTTAGGCACAAAATAGCCGTGTCCAACAGTTTTGAACAGATGTTGCCTGTCGCGAAGAAGATAACAAAAGTAGCAAAAATGGTAAGTTTATGTTCAAAAATGTAATTACAAGTAAATATTATATAATTATTTATTCTAAATTAATTAATATTACCGGTAATAGTTCATAATTTAATGAATTTTGCATCTGGGAGATTCCTCTTGGAACTTAAGTCATGTGATGATTTGGTACAACTTGATGATTTTAAGAAACTTGTCAATAATATGATAGAAGATCATCGTAAAGTTATTATACAAAAGACTCAAGAAGCACACAAAAAGAGGATCATTCAAAAATGGAAAGAATTAGCAGTTAGTAAAATTAAATCCGATTTAAAAATATTGATTATAAATTCTTTTTGATATTTTTACATTTTAGGGAAATAGTTCATTATTCTCTCCAAATTCTTTTGACATTTTCAAAGACAAATTTATTCAAAAAAACCTTCTTGATTCTTTCTATTGTATGACAATTAACCTTTTTTGTGACTCTGAACTATGGCATAATGTTCTCAGGACAAATTTTACACGATTCAAAATATCAAAATTTGAATCAATAAATCTTAAAGATATATCTGAAATTAATAATTCAGTTAAAGATTCATTTGAAAATTTTAATCTCCAGAATATTAATGAGTTGCAAAACCCCGATATTTCTATCGAATATTTTCCATCACTAAACTTAAAGTTAACAGAAGGTGTTTATAGCGAACGAGTTAAAGCATCTATTATTGAGATCTTAAAATTGTGGTAAGATAACTAAATTAAACAATAATAAAAAATATTTGTATTATATTTTTTTATTTAATTTCATTTAACTTAGGATAATCACTTGGAAAAAGGATGAAGAAATTGATGAAAAAGACTATGTTCATATATTTATTATCTCGCCTTTAGAGAAACTTCTTGGAATAAATTTATTATGCTTTATTACATTACATAGGTAAACAATATCAAAATTAATATATTTATCATTATAGTTTAGTTAATTCTAGTTTTGAAATAATAACACTATTAAAATCTTGTAGACCGGAACATCCAACATATTGCTCATATGAACGTAAAAGTTTCTTTTTTAATTTTGATAATTTGGAAGTTTTCGATCAGTTAGTTAATAATGAAGATTTTAACAATCTGGAAATTTATTCTAAAGGAATTATGTCAAAGAAAAAATATTGTAAAAAAGTTGATATCGCTATTTTTTATCGTGTAGAAAATATGATAAATAATAGAGTTCAATATGGATATTTTTATCCTATTTTGGGTGAAGCTAAGCTCCCAAACATTAATGGTGATAATGATTATAACAAACTCAGTCGAGCATTAAATGACAATTTTAATACAATAATCAATCATTATTCTAAGAAAGTAAATGGAATTTCGGATGATTTATTGAATTTATTTAGTGATATCAAACTTGGCGGAATTCATGTAACAGGTGATTTTTAATACATTTCTCCCTAATATTTACTTAAAACTAAAAAAAAGTTTTTGTTTTAGATGAGGAAATCTATCTCCTACAATATACGAGGTATCCAAATCAAAAATTTGGTATTTTGGCTAATATTAGTTCTTCCAAGATTCCTTCAAAGTTTGAAGATCAACAAGCTGGATATATGATAGATTTTTTGTATTGTGTAAAGGTTAGTAGTGTTATCGAATCTTATAATACTGTATAAAATTGTTTAAAACAAATTAAAATTTTCTTAGATTATGGTGCAAGATTTTATTAATCAAATTATAAAAATTGAGAAGGAAATACAGAGGATAAATGAGTGCCAAAATGAAGAATTTTATAGCAAGGGTGAATTTTTATTGTACAATATTCTTACTACCCCGGCCACACCTCCACACAAAGGATAAATATTCTTTTCCAGATTAAAAACTCAGATTAAATACCTTGCATGAGGCTTGATTTATTTGGATATAATTTTGTTTTATTTCATTAAAATTGAATTAAATAAAAGAAATAAATTGTTAAATATTCAAAGAGCTAATAAATAAATAATGGATATGTAAATGTAAAGAAATTTTCTTGTAATTTCATATGAGGGTAATGTTTAAAGGTTTATTTTCTATCTCGATGATACAACTATTTTGTTACTCTTTCTAAGAATCCAAATATTATTAATATCAAACTATACCTCCTTTAGACCTAGCTTTAATTTTTTTACTCGATTTTTGAACTCCTGCGGCCCCCATGGCCGTAGGAGTTCAATTTATTTTAACGTTAAGAAATTTAATTAAAAAGAAAAGGAAATCTAGAAATTAACTCTCAGGTTCAAGATTATATTGCAAAGGCAGCAAAGAAGATAATTTTTTTTATTATCATTATAACGATAATTACTGACTGAATTGATTTATCATTATACATATATTAAATTTTAAAGTAGAATTTATTGGCTAATACATGTCACGTGAAAGTTCATTGTTTTAAATTCGTTCCTTGTTATTTTAAAGTCAAATTTTAACGCTAAAATTTAAGCCTATAAAATTTATTTTATTTTGAACTTTTATACTAACAAGATATTAAGGAATACAATTAGAAATTGTGCTCAAATTTTTTATTGCTTATAACCCAATTGAGTATAATTGATTGAGTGTATTATTTTCTAAATGACTAGGTAACTGTAAATCAATCTCGATATTATTCTTATTTAGCTTTCCATTCTGATATTTACATAACTGACTGAGGTAATTGATTTCTTCATTCTGTTTTTTCATATGTAAAACAACTATATATTTAGTGAATAATTTTTATTAGTGGTTCTAGCATCTTTTTAAGGAACAAAATAAACAATATAGAAATCGTACCTTGTTGATATTGCCACCGGGGAATTACGGCGAGTCAGTCGCTGGACTATCACAAATCTTGCGTAACCTACGAATGGCCTAGTCGAAAGAGGGCGTTTAGATTTGGGCGATGGTTTGGGTTCGTAGGTGAGTACTCTCTAATCTTCTTGGTGATTA